ACCCAACAACGGTGAGCGCGTATTGGGAAGGAGCTAGTGGGGCGGCGGTGATTGACGGTTGGGTTGCAACGACCGAATGGGTGAGCGTGGGAGACGATGAATGAGGTGCGGTGAACCAGTGTTATGCTGAGCACGCATTTCCACCGAATGTTCGATTAGCCTCACGCGGATTTTCTGTGAGCCAAACTGGCGAAATGTGATTTTCGTGCTGGATGTTACCGCAAATCGAAATTGTTACGCATCCACCTGACATCCAAATTTAATCAAAATGATCTAACATAAATTGTTAACTACTCCTTTTGCGTTGCAGGCAATTTCGGAGACTAGAAGCAAGTGGGGTACAGCTAGCCAACACTCATTGTTGGAATTTCAAGCGCCACACATTCATGCATGGTCTGGTAGGCATGAGCGTTCAGCGAAGGTAAGAATAATAAATAAGAAAACATTAAAAAAAACTTGTTTCATTTGTATAATACATGTAAGAAATTTTCTATAACTCCTTATTGGTTCACACTGTGCATGTACAACCCCGATTGTTGGAGTTCAGACTCGATCCGATGGCCTCGCCCTCCGAACCACCATCGTGTCACCTTCGAGTTTTCCAACCCCGAAATGCACCCAACCATCTCGCGACTCTGCGACTTTGGCCAAGCTAGCTTTGCTATATTTGTGTTGGGCTTCACTATTCGCTTAGACATTCTCAGGCCCCTAGATTTGTTTTGGACCACGCTGATCCATCAGTCTTGGTACGGCAAAAAACGTTGACAATCAGTGTCACCTAGGAACAAAACGCTGAAATTTCAGCGTTCGTACGGAAAAAAAAACGCTGATTGTGTATGGTTTAGATTTCAAGCATTAGTACATATTACATAAATAAAGTGTAACAATTTTGATGGTTGGATTGGAGATGGCGAAAGAAACAAATGGGCTAGGGGGCCAGTGTAACAGGTGGGCTGGGGGAAGGGGTGAGAGAGGCACGTGGGCTGAGGAGAGGGGAGAAACAGGATTGGCTGGGGGAAAGTCGAATGGAATTGGGGGGCTAAGGGGGAGTTTCGAATGGAAGAAGTGGGCTGAAGGGGGGGGGGGGGGGGGGGTTCGTATGGAAGAAATGGGCTGGGGTGAGGGACAAGCGAAAGAAACGGGGCTGTCTGGGGGAAGGGAGATAGGGCAGAGTGGGCGAAAGAGCGGGTGCAGTAGGCGGGAGGGCAAACAATCATGTATGTGCGGATTCAGCATTGAGTATCTCTCGCTATCACTCGAAATTTTCAGCATAGACTCAAGGAAAAGGCTGAAAAAACAGACAAAGTGCAAATAGAAGTGTTGGAAAATCAGCCAAGGTACATACAAGGAAACTTTGAAATCAGCCCAGGGTTGAGAAAAAGCTTGATTTTAGGCTGAATCGGCGTACAAAGGCTGATATCTAGGGACTGGTCATCCTATTAATTTCTGTCTTGTTGAATAATGCGCACTCTTCTTTACTACAACTCATAACACTTGGTAACAGAGTGTTGAAATATATTTTCATATATTTATGATATCTGCTCGTATTGTGGTTCGTGTAGTTGTCTTGTATGGTGGTGCGCCTCTTTCCTCTTTGCTTTGTGTAAGGATTGTTTTGACATTCATTGCAGTGTGTTTCAACATCGCGTACAGCAGCAGCCGTTGTTCGCTTGTTACTGCAAACGGGGCTTCGTCAACATTCGAGCACACTGTTTCACCAGACCATGCACCGCTGGCCCGGCCGTGTCGGCCTACGCTTCGGGACTAGCCCAAACCTCAATGCAAGCCTAGCACCAGCTAGCTCGCACGGACCGCGTTACCGTTTGCATGTTTCGCGTATAAGTATTCGCTCATGCCTTCGCTCATACTTTGTACTCGTTTGTTGAACAACCTAGTGCAATCCTCGCTATCTCGTTCCATTGCACCCGTAACACTTTGCTATATATACCCACAGTGGTTTAGTGAAGCCACTCCATTCTCTCTTGTTAACGGGAATGGTGTGTTGGCCCCACCCTCGCTTGGGCGACGCCGACTACCTGGCCGGGCGCGCGGGTAGTGCGACCGACTGATTTGCAGGGTTCAACGCGAGCTGGTCGACGAGGGTGTCAACCTGCAAGCGACCACTGCGATGTCGGCGTCGATGGGAGCTGGCGGTCTAGTTCGACAAGGGAGGTCAACGGAGTAGTCCGTCGACCTATTTGGGACTTGCGAGCAGCTGTCGAGGACTGGAGCTCCGATTGCAGCTGATCTTGCTGGTCGACTGGTGGGTTGTCGACCAGGGTAGTTCGATAGGCGCGGTAGTCGGCGAGGGGTTCGTCGACCAGGTTAGTCCGCTCGGCGAATTCTGCGGAGGCATGCGAACGTCGTCGAGGTCGTGATGGTGACGGCAACTTCGGGCCGGTATCTCGAAGTTGATGTGGCTGATCAGGCACAGACAACAGCCGACGGGCACGTGACGGTGCATGTAGGGCCAATCGTCTGCGGGCACCTGCGAGAGTGCGCGCTGCTGTCGTCTACGAGTGCAACGCTGGACAGCCGCTCTGCTGCAGCGTTGGCACGCCGTCGATCTGCTATGTTGGCAGGCCGCCTTTCTTTTTTTTCTCTTTTTTTTTTTTCCTTTTTTTTGGGGTATAACGCACTATACAATGCATTACATTCATAGTCGTAACTGAGGGGGTGGGAGAAAAACAGGTCTACCTAGTTTGGTCTACACTGTTCTCCCTATAATCTCTTTTACGGCGGCTTAAAGAAGGTGCTGGGTCTCTCCCATATCAAGCTGAATGCCTTGCTCCACGTTAGGTTCTCGTCTTGATCACAAATGCGGTTCAGCGCTGCTGCCTCGCCAGTTGTCAGATTTGTCCAGCCCCCTCCGACCCCGCCACTCTTATGTCTTCTGCTGCCCCCACACCCTTCACTGTAGATCCGCACATGCCTTCTGAAGATTGCCCCAATTTTCCGGGCCACTCGCTTGGGTTCGAAACTTTTCTTCCTGAAGACCGCCCCACACCTCTCCAGCCAGATGTGTCTAAACGTTACTGCGATAAGTGTGGACTCCGGGAAGCCGGAAGCTATACAGTCTTCAGCAAAAAGCAGCTCCTCCAGCGTTCCCACCGCCCTCGCTGGGTTAATCAGGCGGAGCGAATCTTGAAGCGCGCCGCTGATCCCTTTAACCACCGGGCAGCTCAACAAACAGTGCGTGGCCGATTCCTCCTGGCTGCAGTATGGACAGCATGCACGCGAGCCGAAGAAGGCTAGCCTGCTGCCCACTTGCAGGTTGTGGCTGTGCAGCCTCAACAGTACTTCCCTTGCCTTGGCTGGGGTTGCCAGCGAGTCCCTCTTCGCGATGGCTCTCTCCCAGTCAATCTTCCCCCCCCGTATCTCCTCCCACTTCTTCTGCTGCTTAGGCTGCTGTACCGGTTTCCTGAGCAGATGTCTCAGCCTCCTTTGCGCCGTAGGTTTGCCTTCAGTGCACAGAAAAGAGGTCCGTAGCTGTGTTAGCGGATCCCTCGCCTGCCCCAGCACGTATCCCCCGCTGGCCACCATCGGAGTCAGTATGCTTAGTCTCGACGGAGATTGAGCTGCTGCTCCCAGATGTTTTATCTTTCCTTTGTCGTCCACAGCCACTCTCTCGCATCTCAGCTCTCCTCTCTCCATTAGCGCCACTTGTAAGTAGCTTTGGCTCCCCGTCACCGATTTCCCCACCTTGACCAGGGTGGTAGTCTCCGCAATTTCCGTCGCTGACACCTTCGACAATAGCCTCTTTTTCCAGGTTTCCGGTACCGCTTTCCAGGACGCCAGCGCCCACCTCGCTGTGGATGAGCACCCCGTCTATTTGGTCAGTGTCCAGAGATCCTTCACCTTCCAGCCACCGTCGTACTCTTCCTGAAGTAGGTCCCCCACCTTCATGCCTTTCAGGCATTCGGAGCCTTTTTGCCTCCCAAATGGGCTTTCGCTTTGATAGTGAATCCAGTTGCTGAACCACAGCTGCTCCTGCTCCATTTCCCATCTGTTTGCCGGTTCGGCTGGCTTCGGCAGTTGCTTCTCCCACATCAGCGGCACCAACAGCCTCCAATGCTCACTGCCACCCTTCCACTCTGCTAGGATGGCTTTATGTGCCAATAGTGTTGCCCAGCCCAGCGGCATGTTCGTCGCTCTCTCCGTCAGCCATTGTTTCATCGGGTTCTCCTCCATTAGAACTGCCCCGAGGTTCCAGAGCGCTTGGCTGTTGATTCTATCTGTTGGATTGATCACCCCGAGCCCCCCCCTCTTTCCTTCCCAGGTGTGCCAAGAATTCACTCCAGAGGATGAAGTGTTTCTCCTCGTCAGCGCACCCTTTCGAGATGAAACTGTGACACAGCTTCAAGATTCTCTTCCAGATCTGCTTCGGCGGCTGATATACATGCGCCTGGAAGAGGATCACTGGTATCACATACGCGTTCAAGACTGTCACCCTCGCCGTCGTGGACAGGTGCAGTCTCTCCCAGTTGCGCAGTATCGTATTGACCCGGATTAACGCTTTGTCCCATGTCGGCTCCATATTGCCATCCGACGTTATCCAAATGCCTAAAAATCTCTCCGGTTTGCCCCTCTCCGCCCAGCAGAAACTCGAGTCAGTGTGTGGCGGAAGTACTCTGTTCCTCCCCAGTGGCATCACGGTCGACTTTCCTTGGTTGACCTTCAGCCCCGACCTTTTACTGAAGTCGTCCAAAAGCTTCCGCACCTTCCCGAGTTGCTCTTTCCCTTGAAGTCGTGTCGTCTGCGTAGCCCAGGTACGTCAGCTCCCCCTTCCCTCTTTTCCGCAGTCCGAGCTTCCTCCGCTTCGCTTCCTGACAAAGTGGTTCCGCTGCGCAGATGAACAAATATGGCGCCAGCGGACAACCTTGGCGTACACCCGATTCCACCGCTACCTTTTTCCCCAGCCACCCGTTGACCAAGAGCTGTGTTGACGCCTGATCATGAAGACCCTTGGACCATTCAATTAAGGCTTTTGGGAAGCCCATTCACTCCAGCGTGCGGAAGAGAAATTTCCGCGACACTGAGTCATAAGCTTTCTGGAAGTCAACAAGTAACAGGTACCAGTCTTCCTTCCCCAGCACTGCCGCATCGACCGTGTCTGCTACCACTTTTACGGCGTCCGCTAATCTCCTGCCTGGGACGAAGCCAAACTGGTTCTCCGAGATGACTTGCGGTAACTCTTTCTTCATTCTGTTTGCCAGCAGCTTCGCAATGATTTTGTACACCGCTCCCAGTAACGTGATGGGTCGGTAGTTCCCCAAGTCCGTTTTTTCCCCCTTTTTGTGTAGCAAGATCGTCACCGCCGTTGAGAAGCTCTCCGGCAGTTTCGCAGACGCTTCAAAATCTCTCATAAAGTCCATCACTACTTCCCCCAGCAGGTCCCAGTTGTCCTGCAGAAGCTCTTTCAGTAAACCATCAGCTCCTGGTGCCTTGCCTCGTGGGAGCTCTTTGATTGCCTTTTTTACTTCCGCTTCCGACCACGGGGCTGCCAGGGGGCCCACTCCTTTGTTCAGCACCTTTCGGGGGTCCATAGGCCACTCCTCCAGTTCCACCTCCTGCCCTTTCTCCTGAAACAGTTTAAAGAAGAAGTCCGATGCCGCCGCCAGCACTTCCCTCTCCCCCGCAAAGACGCGCCCTTCATGCACGATCTCCTTAACTGTCGTTTTCGCTTTCCTCGTCGTTATCCTTCTTGTCAGAGACTTTGTCGCGATTTCCCCTTCGAGTTCTTCACCCACTCCCGCCATCGTCTGTTTCCGTCTCCTCTGACTGTCTCTGTACGCCTTAAGTTGTGCTTCAAATTTCACCAACTCCTCGTACTTGTCCTCAAGCCCAGTGTTCGCCATGAACTCTTGTCTTAACGCTGCTACCCTGTCCTCCAGGTGCGCGATCGTTCTCCCTATCCTTTTTCTCTCCTCCCTGGCGTGTGCCTTCAGACTGGCCTGCAATGTTGTGAGAGCGGACTGCAGCCTTTTGCCCCCTTTTTCAGTCTGACCATGCACCACCTTCTGTATAGTTTTCCGCACGCCCGTGCTACTTGCTTGAGCAGCGTGCATCCTCCACAGTCCAGGGCCAACTTCTTCTCCCGATGCTGCTGCCAGCACCGTTGTGATCCCGAACCAGTGATCTGTGACCCCCACTGATACGCGTCTGACACAGAGGTTAGCAACGAAAGCGACACCAGTGCACGGTCAATGCGTGAGCTCGTCATCGTTGGTCTCGCCAAGAAAGTGTACTCCAGCTTCGATGGGTAAAGTGTCCTAAAAGCGTCTCTCAGATCCCAGCAGGAGCAGATGTCCAGCATTCTTTTATTTTCCGCCTCCGAACCCCCCTTCAAAGTCTTATCCATGATTGGATCTGCCGCCACATTGAGGTCTCCTGTCAGCAAAAGATGCCCTGTTCTCGGTAGTGAGTCCATAAAGCCAGTGAAGCAGTCTCTAAAGAACACTCCCCTTGACGTTGCCTGTGCAGGGAAGTAAGCTGCTACCAGCAGCCACGACAACTCTCTCCAGCGTACCGTTACTGCCAACAGCCGTCCTGACTCATGCCTCCACACATCACTGAAAGCCACTTCTTTGTTGAAGCTCAGCACCGCCACCCCTTCGGCCGACTCAGCCACAGATACCACTGCCCTTGTCTCCGACCCTGTTTGAGTCCAGAAGTTGTGATCCTCCTGCAGCCTCGTATCTGTGAGTATTATTACCCCTTTCGACTTGTTCAGCCACTCTTTTAGACATTCCCGTTTCTCCGCGCTGCCCAATCCATTGACATTGAGCGCGCCAATAATGAGTTCTCTTCTTTTATCCATTAATCCACTTCTTGAGACCCCCCAGCATCCACGGGGTTGTTGTCTTTATCATTCTTCTCAGTTTCTGCTCCATCCACCTGTCCAAAAGCCTTGTTACAAAGAAAATACCACAGAGTATAGCTGATGCAAGTGAAACGCTAACCACCGCTCCTCCTACGACTACCATATGCAGCTCTTGTATAGCCTTCTCATATCTGCTTTCCCATCCTGTCACTGCTTCCCACATCCTCTGGCAAGGTAGCTGAGGAACACCTTCCTGAGGGACACTTCGTTGACACACTCCGTGCTGGTGTTGACAAGCCCGACCTACTTCGCCGGCTTTGCGATGTACCCCTTCTTGAAAGCGAGCGACTTCTGTGAAGACACACTGATGCGTGTTGCTGACCCCTCCTTCTTTAGCCCTCCTTTGTGCCGAGCAGATGCGATGTGCGCGGATGCCTGTTCGAAACGGTTCCCTTGTGCTTTGTCGTAGGCCGTCTGAACACAGACCCACTCCTCCCGCGCTGCTCCAGTAGAGGTGAGGACAATGGCTGGATCCTTCAAAATACGCTTCAACAGGTCTGTGGCTTTCAGAGATGCAGCTGCGAAGGGAGAGAGGCTGACACACGTCAGGGTACGGTAAGAGTGGAAAGGCAAATGGCTAGACGTGTAACACCGGCGGGTAAGGAGTGTCCATGCTTATACCATTCATCTCATGAACCTTTTTAACAGTCAGGTTCCAGTTGTTGAAATTCTCCTGTCTTGGAGCGACGTAGCGGTCATGATAGCGCAACATGTGATGTCCCCCGCAGAAGTCGCAGGTCAGAGAAGGGAAGTGGAGGAGGTAACGCTTCCCCGTCGAAGGGTCTTCAACAAAGTACCTCCAACGGTACTCGTCATCAGCATGCGGGATGAAAAGCCCACGGATTCGGACAGTATCAAGCCCTGTTACCGGGTCCACAGTCCGATGAAAAACAAAACCGCTGGCAAAAGCACTTCTGCCCCGCGTGACCAGCTTCGACACCACCAGGAGACGGCGAATCAGCTCCGCCGTAATGTCTGCAGGTACACCTTTAATCACAATCTCCTTTGCCGTGGGATTCAGCACCCGTTCGCGCAGGAATCGTGCGTCTTCAGGGTACATCCAGGTGAGGTCAATGAAGTCTCCATTCACACATTCATGGCGGATGAGAGAGAAAAGGCATGATGTTGCCTCCGCTATCCAGGACAGCCTCTGCACCCATCCCCGAGGCGCCCCGAGGCGCGCGGCGGTTTCCTGCCCGTCGTGGCGCCCCCGGGGACCTGCGCGCTGCCCCCCGTCGTCCTCCTCCCGTCGCCTCGTCGCGGCGCCCTGGGGGCCCGCGCGTCCCCCCCCTCCCGTCGCCTCGTCGCGGCACCTTGGGGGCCCGCGCGCCGCCCCCTCCCGTCGCCTCGTCGCGGCGCCTAGGGGGCCCGCGCGCGGCCCCTCCCGTCGCCCGTCGAGCCGCCCTCGGGGGCCCGTGCGCGGCCCCCCTCCCGTCACCCGCCGTGGCGCCCGCGCCCTGCTTCTTCGTGGCGCCCAAGAGCCACCCCGCTGCCTCCCTTTCCCTCCGTGCCCCGCCCCTGCTGTTTCCCGCGCTCCTGCCTGCGTTAGGGTTTGGGGGTGGCGGGCATGGGGGTGACCGGTGTGGGTAACCTGCGGCTCCTCCTCCTCCTCCGTCTCCCACTGTTGCAGCTGCCGCTGAGGGGGGTGGGTGTGTGGGAGCCGAGGGTTTAGGGTTTAAGGGGGGTGCCGTGGAAGTGGAGCTAGGGTGTCAGCAGGGGGTGTGTGAGAGGGGCGTGGGACGGTCGGGGGAGGTTGCGTGGAGGTAGCCGTCGTGACGCCAGCAGCGCCAGTAGTCCGGATGCCCTCGCGCGTTTCGGTAGCCCAGCGAGCCTGCTTCGCCAGTCGCCTGTGGGTCCGTTGCTCCTGTGTGTGCTCGTCGTAGCCGCGGAGCCAGATACTCCCGTAGTCCGGTGCCCTCGTGCGCTCGGTAGCCACTGTGCGCGCCGCTCCTGTTGCCCGTGTGTCTGCAGCTTCAGTCGGCGCCTTTCATCTTCTCGCCCTCACAGTTTCTCCTCCTCCTCACTTGCCCTCTATGATCACCTCTAGCTTTGCTTATAATTGTGAACTATTGCTATGCCTGCTCATTGTACTGATTACACCCCACTTTGGCTATGGGGGTGTGTCAGAATGTTATTATTGTCTAGCCTGTAGTGGGGTGCTCTATAGCGAGTACAACCCAGTTAGGGTTTGCTATATGTACCCCAACTGCTGCTAGTGAAACCTCTCTCCTTTCAATCATTCTTGCCTAGTTCTTCTGATACCACTCACACTCACTCACACTCGCCCCCACACTGACCCACACACTCACACTACCACCCACACTCACCCAAACTTCAATTGACCAGATGCACCAGACCTCTGTGTCTGTTCACTCATTTAATCCATCTGCACACCATCTTTCCTCTAACGAGGCAGCGCCTCTGTGGGAGGGAACGAGGAGGAGTGAGGAGCGGCGCGCTGCCGCCCCTCGACGCAGGGAATGCAGGGCGGCGCAGGCGAGGGAGGGAGGGCAGGCAGAGACCTGGGAAGACCAGAGACCAGGAGGCGAGAGTGCATGCTACGAAGGCGAGGCAGGGAGGGGTGACCAAGGCGGTGGTGCCACAGGAGAGTGTCGTGGGACAGGCGGCGGCACTCACACTGGGTGGCTACCTGAGCAGACGCGTACAGCTGTGGAGACAAAGGAGTGTAGCGTGAAACAGTGGTGAGGGTGTACAGACTGGACCCCGGCTCACGGGTGAACGTGGCCAGGTGGCGGCCAGTCTTGGAGCAGGTACAGATCGCCACACGCTGTCCTCCAGGAGTCCAGGTGTCAACCCAGTGATCCTGAAGGACGGCGTTGCTCACCAAGTTCGTAGAGAACGAGGGAACATGGAGACCTGACAGCTCACCAGACGGGACCGCCGGGCACGGAAGCACAGTCGTGGCTCGTGCAAGCACTAGGCCCCCAGAGGGGTCAGCCAGCGAGACAGGAACAGGTGCAGGGAGGGGGGTGACTGCGGTACTGTCGCGAAAGAAACAGCGAGAAGCACCAGAGTCAAGTGTAAACGCATGCAAAGCCTGTGCGGACGCAGTACCAGAGAGGGCAGACTCACTAGCACCTAGGGCTGCAGGCTCTATACCTGGGTCAGGCGGGACGCACAAGTAGCAGTCACCCTCAGCACTAACAGTCAATGCATACATGGCAGCAAGGATTGCATCATAGTCAAGATCATAGACAGGTACATCACGCCTAAGCAGCTCTGCCCAGTTGGGGAACTCAGTGGCATCAGGAAACTTGGCGCGCCAGGCGTCGCTGAGGCGCGCAAAGCAACGGTACTCAGTGTGAAAGTCGTTGCACGTGCGACCCTTGCGAGGGCCAGTGAGGATGACATAGGGGGACCAGAACCCCCAGACGCCCCACGCCCAGCATACCAGTCATGAAGCTGCTGAGAAGAGGGGGTCTGGCGCTGCTGCTGCTGCTGGCCGGTCCCACTCCCGCCTCCACCTCCAGCACCACTACCTCCTCCCCCCTTTCCGCCGCTGCCACCGCCACCACTCCAAGGTCCCACTGCCACCCCACCCACCTCCTCCACCCCCACGACCACCCGCACTCCCCCCACCACCCCCACCGCCTCCACCACCGCTCCCCCCGCCTCCACCTCCGCCACCCCGGCCACCCTTGCCGCTCCTGCCACCGCCGCGCTTCCCACTAGGAGCGGAAGCCGCTGCGACCTTCTCAGCACCGTGAAGGTCAACGGCAGTAGCAGCTGAGGCGTACGAGGGGGTGAGGGGGGAGGGGGAGCACCCCTCAAAGAGGGGAGTGCGGGGAGTGCCTCGAGCGGCACCTACAGCTAGGATGTTTTTCTCTGCTGCAAGAAGCTGCTGCTCAAAGTCGTCTAGGGTGATCTCGGTGGGATCCATGGCGAGGAAATGGTCCCTGACGGAGCTAAGGGTGTCAGGGAGGCGGGTGACGAGGAGGTAGAGGGTAAAGTAGA